AAGTTTCATGAAAATATGGATCATTATTCGCATAATAGGGTTTTAGTTAGGAGAATCATAAAGTCATTATGTGATCCAAATATCTTTACTTTTCAGAAAAACGGTCTATTTCCCCCCCGAGAAGTATCACATCATAACAGATAGAGCCCAATCTTTGACTCCGGTCCTAATGTCCCTGAAATGGAAGTTCAACACCTAAATGTCCCCGAATCGAAAGTTCAACACTTGAATGTCCCCGAATCGAAAGTTCGAGAGCTAATACCACACATAGATGGGTTTAATCGGTTTATTGTATTCAAAAACGATTTACGAACCAACTAAACCTAATTATAACCCGAGTAAACCAGATTTTTGCCCAATTACGACCCGATTTACTCTCTAAAACCGAAATCCCCAAACGAAACCCTAAAATAAAAAATCCTCAAATCAAAAAGAAAGAACCCTAGAGAGAAATTGCGATTTTGTTGCTCTAATCTGCTGCTCAAACTCCATCAACAGTCTACTCTTGTCATCACCACTTAGTTCCAAAGATGAGACATAAATTTTGGTTGATGAAATCAATGGGGTCTTCGATATTGATAAGCTTTGATTAGTCTCTCTTCTTCTCCATGATGATTTCTAAGATTGGTGAGATTAACCAAACGATCTGGGATGCAAGTATTCATAGTCTTTCCTCATCCTTAGTTCAGTTTCTTAATCGCTTCTTTGTAACTTCAAATTCGATTGATTTTCTGTAAATTCACTCATTATTGACAATTGCTTTTGTGTAACTTCAAATTGGGGTTTTTTTATCGTGAATTCGTGATTATATAAGTTCTCTTCAAACTCTGTTTTTTATATGGATTCGATGTGGTGAAGATGAATACACTGAACATGGATGGGAAGAAGAAGAAGAAGAGTAAAGTGAAAAGATCTAGCTTTGTTGAGGAAGAAGATGATAACAAGTATCATCATTGGCTTGATCGCAAGGAGAAGAGGGAAATCGGCGGTTATGGTGAAGGTAAAGGTCGTGGTGGTGGTGTAAGAGCTGATTCTTCGACGAGGATTGGTGTTGGGGCAACGGCGGCGGGAACGACGAAGTTTCCATGGAGCAACATGAGATTTGTTGGTTTATGAGCAGATTATTATGAAATTATTGATTTGTATTTCTTTAGCTATCAAATTATGATTGTGTTGTTGAATTATTGAAGAACTTTGATAATTATTGGGGTTTGAAATCGAAATTGGGGATTTGGAATTTAGGGTTCTAAATTTGGGGATTGTGAGGTTTTGAAATCGAATCTGGGAAATATGAATTCGAGACTGGGTCGGGTTACAGGATATAATCGGATATTTAATCGGTTTGGTTTTGGGAATACATGGTTTGGTCTCGGGTTTACAGCTAAAACCGACGATACCCAGATTCGGGGACATTTAAGTGTTGAACTTTCGATTCGGGGACATTTAGGTGTTGAACTTCCATTTCAGGGACATTAGGACCGGGGTCAAAGATTGTGTTCTATCTGTTATGATGCGATACTTCTAGGGGGAAAATAGACCGTTTTTCCTTACTTTTCAATTTTAAAAAAAGAGATCAGAGAGAACTTTATATAATTAATATAAATAAGGTAGATCCAAATACATTTTTCGTGTGCTACTTTATGTTTTAAGATTTTCAAATATTTGAATGATTTATACGTTTGAATTATTTAATTGTCTAGGTATATAACAACAAAAAAAAAAAAATGTTATTCATATTACGACCAAACAAATTTGTTATTCATATATAATGCACCCATGTCTTTTGTTATTGGTCCGTTCTTTTAATATTGTCTAATATGCGGCGGACAAAACTGATTTGATTTTCTCTGATTCATTCTTTCTTCATTATATTTCACGTAAATACAATCAAAAGTTGTTAGGTAAAGGCGTAAAGCTATATAAAATGTGTTATTTATTATTTTTTTTTTTATAATTTTTTTTTTTGATAACTCGGGTGTCCGGCCCTTCTGAGGTAGAACCGACTAGTGTGGGACCCACATGCGTCATCTGCCCTAGGGTACCCCACTTCCCGGGAAGCTGGCGATTCCCTCATGTAAATCTGCTAGTGGCCGTGCCTCGAACCTTGGTGGCGGAAGTCACAGCCGTGACCCCTTTTCCACTAGGCCACAAAGCCCGGTTAAAATGTGTTATTTAACGAACCAAAATGCTAAAAAGGAGGTGCTAAAATAATATAGGAGTAATTAAATATAGGGTATAAATAAAAACATTTATCTCAAACGCATACTCTCTCCGTTTTACAAAGAGTGTCGTTTTAAAGTTTTATTTTTGTTTTACAAAGAGTGTCGTTTTGTATTTTGAATACAAAATTTTGAGTAAAAATCCAATTTTAACCTTATTTCCTTTAATATATTAATAAGAGAGATAATTTTGTTTAGTATATTAATAAGGGTATAATAGAAATTTTAATAGTTATCTTAATATGTGTGTAAAAATGTAGAATGAGACTCTTTGTGAAACAGAAAGAGTATTAAAATATCTACGTACGAAACATTGTAAGTATATATGGATTTATATGACTATATATATACACACAGAGAATCAACAGACAATAATTCATGTGATGTACTACTATTCGAAATTTAGTTGTTGACCTGCAGATTCAAACTTTGGAACTCTAAAAAAATCTGATTTTATTAATCTAAGCCAATAAAAGCAATTATCGTGTCGGTAATTACTGCTAAGTACTTGTACTTGATATCATATCATGTTTGGTTTTGAGCTTAGAATATAATTAATTATGCTAAATGACTCTTTCTCGTTTCCTTGTTGCTTCTCGTTTCACATGGCTCCGCCTAATCCAGCCAGCTCTTTTTCTCTACAATAATTAGACTAAATTGTCTTTTCTTACAATTACAAATTTATTAACATACGCATGCATCCGCGGAAGGAATCATTTCATTTTTCTATTACAAAAATATTGACCGCAGATCAAATGATCAATACTATATAGTTTTCTTGATTTTTTGAATTGTTTAATATTAATATACACTAATCTTTTTGGGATCTGGATTTAAGCTAAGGACGGTAATAGCAAACCACGATTGATGATATGTGTTTCTTAATGCACCGGCAATTAGTTCAAAGATTGGTTAGATCTATGAACTCTAAAATAAAATATTAGTGTATACTTCACTTATCCGGTTGCTGCTATTATTTAGATTCACTAAAAACATATTAGCATCGTTACTGTTTTACCGATAGATACGTAGAACTTGAGAGTTGAGACAAAATATAATAAGCTCTTTTGTTACAACAAATTGGTACGTACGTACCTTATGATGAATTTATGATCGAGGTTTTTAATGATATAAATGATACTAGAAGACTTTTTGAATCAAGACTAAGATTTTCTGTCTATACATGTTACACTGGTGAACTATATATACATATGATACAATTATCTCTAAGTGATTAGTGAAATTAAAGAGTAATATAGTCACAATTAAGTATATTAGTTCAAGTATAATTATGATAAGTCGGTGCGTAATCGAAGCCCCATGTTAGCACGAGATTTCTTTGAGAGGAGAAAACGAAACAAGTAGAAGACAAGCAACGTTAAAGTATAGAAATATATCTTTTAATTATTATAAAACTTAAAATGCCACTTAAATCATGTGCTGATAATTTCTTTTAGAGGGTTGTTTAATTTGGAATCTTATGAACAAACTTAAATTCTATTTCTTGGGTTTAGTTATGGATCCTCTTAGTCATTGGCCGTGATATTATTATTTAGCTGATGCATAATAATTTGTAGATCACTATTAGGTAATCTAAGGGTTCATCGTTTAACGGTCTTGAATTGTATAGTTCATCGGTCTTGAATTGTAGCATTACGTGCATATTTTTGTGGAAGCAAAATTTACTACCAACCTAAACGTGGTGTTATCACCAATTCAAATTTTAATAACGTCAAAAGTCTTAACTGAAATAAAATTACCTTTCACGATTTTTATTGGCATGTCAGGTAAATCCATTTCGTCACTAGACTAGATATATGAATCTAGGTTTTAGAAATCTCCGAAATCATCAACCATATAATTTTATTTCCATCAAATATATACATGAAAGTATCCATACCATATATATGCAAGTTACAAGAAAAAACGCAAGACGAAAAAAAGGAAAATTGAATAATTGTTATTCGGTCTATAAAACTGCTAACAAATGATATACTATAAGAGGATCTATCTCATTAAACTTGGTGTCAGATAAAAATGATAGTCATGGGATTGTTGGGTATGGTTGGATAATCATAATACCAGTACGGATGTTGATGATGGAGAATATATACGTTTTAATATACAAAATTACAAATTGATAAAAGAATATATAGAAAGGGGAATCATTTGAATTTCTAAAAATAATACAGGAAACAAAAACGCCATTATATTGTTACACACACAAAAGATAGAAGCTTTGTCTTCAATTGGTTGTTGATATAATATCTAATTTATTTTGATTTTTTATATGGTTACATGCATATCTTGATCATGTCCAGTGAGGACTTGTCTGGAATATATTGGCTTAAAAATCACATTTTCTGAATTATTTTATTGTTCATCATTTGTCCAAATCCTCTTGATCTTCTCAATTTATATTATATCAGCACATCCAATTATTCCAGACCCCCACTTATATATAAACTATGATATATACATAATATACAGAATCTACTTTCATAAGACTTAGGATTCTATGATTTATCAGTAACACTTAATATATGTAAATTCTTGGACAAATTAATTTAGCCATCTTTTGAGTTAAACTACAACATGTTAAAAACTTTTCTTTAACTATTTCATATAGTGGCATTTATATTAATGAAAAAAAAAAAACATCTTTTCAGAGAATAAAGGACTCTCAAGTAAGGGATTAAAATATTACAAACTAGTAAATCCATAATATAAAAATAGCTATTGTTTTGTCTGTCTGTTAGAGAGAGAACAATTAGATGGACATAAAAAGCTTTTTCCTTGCCTCCTTCCTTCACAAATATCACAGCCTGTCAAAATTAGCCTTTGAAAACTATTTTAACTTCCATCACTATATATTATTTTTTATTAATCCTTATTTAATTTAAGCATTTCCTTAGCTGTGATTGTGAATTCCCATTATCCCTCTCTCCTTCTCTTTCCTTCTCTCTGTATATCTCTCTAGCTATCTCTTCTTCCACACAGCTTTAGAGTCGTAATATTTGATTGTTGACAAAACAAATCCTATAGTAATCTCTCAGCTTTTGGGTTATGCTTGGACCAAATTGGTAAAAAAGCATATGGTAAGGTAAGTGTGCGTCTTGAAGAGTTTCTCTTAAGTGAGTTTTGTGGCATGAGCATAGAACATGTGATCAATGAGCTTCTTTGGAGAAAATCACAGCTTGGCCACTCCTCTTTTCAGGTAATTTTTATATTTTTTTGGACGGTAATTTTAAAATATATCTATCATATTCATTATTCATATGCATATATCGAAAGGATTGTTATATATGTCCATAAACAGATTCCGGTCCGGATATTGCTGGTGCTTTCTATTTATATAGATATACTTTCTCTATATATATATTTGTGTGTGTGTCTAAGAAAAAAAAAAACTCATGGGTTTTCTTTTTTTCAGTTAATTGAAATTTCAGTACCTCAAGAGTATAGCTAGAATAATTTTTTGATAGCGAAATAGATATTTTGTTTAGAAATATACACACAAATAAATAAATAAAAAAATCGCTATCTTTTAACCAATTTGTTGTCCTTGTCTTATCCTATTGGGTATCTAATTTGGTTTTATACAATTATAGATACATAGACATGATCTTATCATGTCTTTGTGTACTTGCGAGCGTGTGTATAATAGATACGTAAGTACACATGTGTCCCAATATATTTATTTATTTATTTATATGATTTTTGTGTAGACAACTTTTAAAACAAAATTAGGAAACAAGTATAAGTGGAAATTTAGGTGACATAGTCCTCTTCGCATGAATGCGAAAACATAATGAACGATGTGACCAATTTAAATACAATATGTATTATTCCAGTTTTAATAGAAAAGAAACTTAGGTGAGACAGTCTTCCTCGCATGATCATCAATTTACACTAAATAGTAAAAATTCTTATTTGTTGACTTTAAATCGACTGCTCGACTAGTGTTTGTTGTTACTTTTTTCCATGTCTCTATCTATATTTTGTTAATCATTCTCATATTTTTTATCAAACAAAAAAAAAGAAAAAAAAAATCATTCTCATATTCTAAGTCATGCTTATCCGTAGAAAAGGAAAAACAAAAATTGACAATTAGCTCTTTTCTTTCCTTCGTCCTTTGACAACCTTCACCACATATTTTATATATTTCTTGCAATTTTACAACTCGAATCATTCTATTTTGAAATTTAGTTGTGAAAATGATATTATTGTACTATACCGCATCAATTATTTCACTGATTTGAAAACAAAATATTATTTCCCGAATCGCTTACTATTTCTCACGTCGATGATAATATATATTTTACTATAAAACAAAAGATAATTTAGATATTTTGCATTGGATATGAAAGTAGGTAAATTCGAATAAAAAAAAAGTTTTGTAATGTTATCTTATTGGTAAGACAGGCCGTGTCTAGCTAGCTAGTGTCATGGTGGCTCTACTTAGATTCTCTAATTAGTATTCAGCTCGGTTGAGTCTATTACTTGTTCAATGTTTATACTATATTTAAACTAACGTTTTGAATTTTTCTTTGCAGTGACTAAAAAAAGTAAATTCAATTAAAAGAAATAAACAGAAATTAGCTTGGTCATATACGCATATATAACTGAAAATAGTAAATCTTCCACCTGTATAATTACTAACAATTAAAAAAAAAAAAAAAAAAATCCAACAATTTGTGGTCTTACTTTTCTATCCATTGATTTAGTGATCGGAAAGACATTTTGATTCGGTTTAGAAGAAAATACTTGGCTTTAAGACAAAACACCATGAGAGAGAATCTAATCAAATTCAAAAGTGTGTCCCACTAGTCAAGCTTCTTTTGTCTATAAACCCTTCACTTCACGAACTAGTGGCTTCTGACGATTACTCCATCAATATCATAATCACATGTATACACACACACACACACACACACAACACTCACTCAAATATACAATTTAAGTAGAGTTAGGGTTTTTAATGTGTTTTATCACTCATCAAATGGTTATGAACTATATATATGACTCTACGTTTCAGGCATGGGAACAAAGATCATTGAGCGAATTACAACAAACCCACGTGGATTAAAGAGTGTTGATCATAGTGGATTCATCAGATTTGTTGTTAATGGTCGACAAGAATCGTCAAAGGAGACGTTGACAGACGAGAAAGAGGAGGAAGAAGAAGAAGGGGTTTTTATTTTAAGGTCAATGGATAGGTTTCTTGAAAAACAAAATGCTGAATCCATCAGAAGTACAATGCAAGCCCAAGAAGATATTTTTAAGCAACAGGTACGTTATACTTGCATATCGTTATCTGGATTTGGTCTTTCAATCCAGTTTCATGTTTGGTTTTGGCTCAGATTTTTGTTTTTATTTTTCTCTTCTTTGGTTGAAAGTAACCAAACTAAAAAGGCAAATCTAGTATCAATGGATCAGCTTTGAATGATCCATTCTATTTATTAATGTAATTTGAAAGATTTAGAATTATGTTTTGTTTTGAGTCTAGCTAATTTCCTTTTTTAGTTTAAATCAGCTTTAGCTTTTTGGTTTTTGAAAAGGATGATCAGATTTAATGAGTTTTTGAATCGGTTTTCTTTTACTTTAGTTTAGATTCGTGGACCGATTCAGGTTATAATCCATAGCAAATACCTTTAAATTGAAAATAATGGTATTGATATAAATACTTAACTTAGATTTATATTTGAGTTTATGTTTCTTATCCTTTCTGGTCCAATTAAGATTATCTTCATTAAAACGTAAAATAATTTTAAAAAGTATCGGATTAGTTTTTCATTCCTTTTTTCAGCTTGGTTTGGATTGGACCAATTCGGTTTTTTCACATCGAACATAACATTTTGAACTTGTGAAGATAACCATGGATATAACAAAGTGATAATCGCAGGTACGAGAGCTACATAGAGTATATAATACACAGAAAATGATGATGAATCAACTCAAACATAGAAGACAATATTGGACTGTTAACAACAAAGACCAAACCGGTTCACGAGAGAGGACCGGAAGTTGTTCAGGCATAGACCTCGAAAATGTGGTTAGAGCAACACAAACGACGACGGATCATATCGAAGAGAGCGAACTCGAATTGACATTGAGCATTGGGTTGTCTTCTTCATCTACTACTATGACCACAACGACGAACAAGGACATGGACTATTCATCAACAACGTCGATGAGATCATCATCGGATAATTGTAATAATCAGAGCAATAATAATAACAATAACAGTAATAATAACCAAGAAAGTAGCGGACCAAACACGCCTATGAGCAGCTCAAGTACGACGTCGTTGGATCGAGAGAAGAAGAGACCTCATTGGCTCTTTCAAGGACTTAGTATTAACCGAACCTCTTCTTGATTTTTGTTAATTCACTGACTCTTTCTTTTTTCTTCTTCTTGATTTTTCTTTTTGTTTCTGATTTATCATTATTATTAATTATTTACTAGATTTACTGATTTCACTTTTAGGTCTAATTATTCTTCTTCGTTACTGAACTGATAAACCATTGACAAAATAATCCATTTAGTGTTTTGTTTTCTTTTCATTAATTTGCTTTTGGAGCTCAATGAGGTCATACATTGAGAAGGATAGAACTTAAAATATAAAGTAGAACAGAGAAAAATTGTATATAGTAAATTTGAAATTTCGAGGTGTTTTCAAATCGACTCCATTTATTTTAAGATTGGTTTTAGTTACCTATTTCAAGATTTCACATATCCGTCTTCTTCCATCGTAATTTTTTTACACAAAATCGTATGTATGACTATTGTTATTTAAGCATATTACATAAGCCTCTTTATTTTACTTTTTTCCTAATAGTCATCTTCGTCATCTTCATCATTTCTTGATCGGAAAAAGTTTCTAGCAACGGCTGAAGCGGCTCCAAAAAACATGAAGAGAAGTAGGAGGTCGAAACCACCGCCAACACCAACTGCCACCGCAGGACCAGGGGCAAAAAAGGAAAATGGTGACAATCCGTAACCGCCGTAACCATATCCATACCCACCGATCAAAGGTGGTGCAACCGGAGGATTCACGTAGATGTTGGTCCTGTGAAGAAAAATCTGTTAGGATATAAAAACTGTGACAAAAATCACAAAACCATTCAGACCAAAGAAAAATTCACAAACCATCATTTTCTAAAATACAATAATACATGAAATTTTCATTATCGTTTGGTTTGCGCTTATAGTTAACAAATAATTCTGATTTAAAATGCTAGTAGTTGTGACTTCATTAATTTATAAAACTACACCGTAACATGTAAAAGTAAACATAAAGCCCAATAGAAAAATAAAAAAATCTAGGCCTAAAAATAATGTAGTGGTGAATCAAGAGATAATTTTGGATTCATTTTGTAAGTATGGGGCTCGATATGTAAATTATAGAAAAATATAAGGGGTTTACTTATGGCCTATAATGTGGATATGAGGCTGCTAAAGCCCATGCATGAAGCCTCTTGTTTTTGAGAAAGACAAAATACACAAAAAGTTTTTGATAAATGTTTTACAATATTTTCAACAAAAAACAAACTATTAATTATGAATAATATTTATTGAGCCAAAAAATATTAAAATCTTGAAACTATATGCATTTTTTAAAAAAAAATTGCAAAGTGAGATTAAATTAAAAATGATGAAAATATTAATAACTCTAAGATCTTAATTTACTTGGAATTTCAAAAATGTTCAAATGATTAAAATCGAGATTAGAGCTTCAAGTAGCTATTGTTTACCTCGAGCGGTTGTTAATTCTAGGAGGAGGGCGAGGAGCTGAAGAGCGAAACGCTTGACCACCGATTCTACCACCGCTTTTGGCCGCAAAGGCATCTCCAACGCTTCCGAAAGCCAAAACGCCAACAGCTAGCGTCGCGATTGCCAATTTCGCCAGCTGATTCTCATTTTTCCTAATCAACAAAATAAATTAAAGATTGAATAAATAAACAAAACCCGAATTTAGAACGAAAAATTCTCTAAAAAATAAAGAAAAATTACCGGGAAGAATCAGTTTCGTCGTCGTGGTGTGAAGATTTACAACAGATTGAATTAGGACGAGTGAGGTTAACATTGGATTTGGGTTTAAAGCTGTGTCGGAAACTGAAAGAGTTCGATAAAAAGCTTTGTCGTGTAGAAGCTACGGCGGCGAAAGACATTGTTTTTGTTTTGGTCTCTTTGATTTGTTCTAAGCTCTTCTTCTCTGTTCTAAAGATCTTTCTCGTCTTCTTGGTTTTTGTATTTTGTAGCTATGAGGTTTTTGTGATAAAGCTATTGCCACGTGGATTATAACTAGTGGCCTACTCAAGAACACATGTATTCACACGGATTATGATATCCGGTTTATGTTATCAAGAAGAACCGGTTATTCATCTAACCGGACCTCAATCTGCTTTTGGTTTAATTTGAAGATGGATAAATGTGAGAAACTTTACAAGTAGTAAAGATAAAATTTATCTTATTTGGAAATTCAAAGGTGAATTTATAAAATTTGTTACTTTATAATAACCAAAAACCATATCTATTGAAACGAAAATATATAAAACCTATGATATTATCTTCTCTTTTTTCTTCAAGAGATGGGAAACAAAAACATGTTTATAATTAAAGTCTAAAATCATGAAGAAGGAAGAAAACCCCCAGGAGTTTAGAGGAACTTAACACACATTGAAAAGAAAAGAAAAACCGAAAAAACCCCCCTTATTTCTCTTGTTATAAAATCATCATCATTATCATCTCTTAAACAAAAGGATCTTCTTCTTCCTTAATCATCTTCTTGTGAAATCTTTATTAAACGGTGTAGTGACCAGCTGTCTCAATGTCTAATCCCTTAAGCTTCACCACTGACTCTACATGTCCCTTAAGCGTATGAAGTTCCCTAAGCCTGTAAACAACAAACCCTAACGTTAACTTCACTCACAAGAAACCTAAGTTTGATAACTTTTACAAATCCATTACCTTGCAATCTCAGCTCGTCTCTTGGCTTGATTTGCGATCTCGGACAGTTCTCTGTAACCACCTCTCTCCGGGATAACGTTGGCTGTTTCAGTGTTCTGAAGACCGTGTAAAGTCCTTTGTGCATGAGCCCATTGTGCTTCTCTCTCCTCTATTCCATAGTTTTGCTTAGTGGTAAACGCAGTCTGTATTTTCAAAGAGATTTTGTTAGTCTTAAAATCACATTTCAGAAGAAGAAAGACAAGTAAACTAAGAAAAAAAGGCAAAACGTACCCTGTTGTCAATGAGATTGTTCCAGGCTGTTCCGGCTAGTATGTAACGGATTGCGAATTTCATTATGTCTAATGGAAAGTAAAAGACAATACTGTAAAGCCAGATAACTCCAGCCCATCCCCATCCTATTCCTTTGATTCTTGCAAATTCCCAAGTCGGGTAAACCGCAATGAATGTTGCAATCTACAAGGTCAAGTTATAATGAATCAATCATTCAAGAGAGTTTATAATCAACCAAGAAGAAGAAGTTACAATGCTTACCAATTGTGCTATCCAGAAAGCACCTAGCAAGAGATATCCAGGTCGTTCTGTGAAAGACCAGCTTCTAGATCGAGTGACGAAGATAAGAGCTTGGCTCACTATACTGACTTGTAAGTAAAGAGCAGACATCATCTCATGTTCGCTGCCTCTCAAGTCTCTCACGTGGAATGTTCTCTATAAGAAAGAAACAGAGTTAATGCTTGTGTGACAAGGAACTTGAAGAGAGGTTGTTTTATATGTTACATACCGGGAAGAAATCGGTTTTGTACGCAGCCCAGAAGAAAACGACAGTTATTATAGCCATGTAGCCTCCAAGAACAACGCCGGTTGCGAAGATTTCTTTGAGTTTCCAGCTATCTGGTGTAGGAGAAGGCTTGACTCTGTCCTTTGAGATAGTCATGATGGTTCCTGTTGAGTAAGTTAATGACGTTAGTCTTTTAGACCAATCTAGAGAGAGTTTTTATTTTCAAAGAAAAAAAAACTCACCATCGTTTAGTATAGCAATGATCAAAACCATGAATGGTGAAAAGTCGAACTTCCATATTAGAGCAATGAGCATGAACCCAAACTGTGAAAAGGCACAAAGTGAGAGATCATAAAAAAGAGAGATTTGTTTTGATGATATTCAAGAATACATACAAGATTGATTACTTACCACTATACGAATGGTAATTGAGACTGCATAAATCTGTTTAAAAGAAACATTAGAAAATATCATTAGAACATGTCAAATTGGTTAAAAGGTTTTAAAAAAGCTATAGTTTAAGATTAAGAGCACACTCACTGTGTAGTTCTTCATTCTCTGGAATATTGCTCGGCTTGTTAAAACCGCGCTGATAATCACACTGAGCCCTGGCTCAGTGAGGACAATATCAGAAGCACCTCGTGCAGCGTCAGTTGCATCCGCAACAGCGATACCTATATCCGCTTTCTTCAATGCGGGAGCATCATTCACTCCATCTCCTGTCATTCCACAGATATGCTTCCTTTCTTGCAACTTCTTCACAATTTCATATTTGTGCTCTGAAATAATTTACAAGAAAAAAAAAAAACAAAAACTAAGTGTTACAGAGAGAAGAGCAAGCTTGTGTTGTGCAAAAAAATAAGGCTCTTAAACAAACCTGGGAAGACCCCAGCAAAGCCATCAGCTTTCTCAATCAACTCATCAACAGGAAGGTGAGCGATTGCTTCGTCTTTGTGTTTACCGAGTAAAGAAGAGGATGGGTACATGTTTGATCCCATTCCAAGTCTACGTCCAGTCTCTTTAGCAATAGCAAGTTGATCACCTATCAAACCAATAGAAACATTAGTAAGAAATCGAATATAAAGTCGGTGTTTCCGCAATAGCAAAGAGTAATGTATAGATATAAACCAGTAATCATCTTGACGTTGACACCGAGGTCTAGAGCTCTTCTTATGGTTTCTGCACTATCATGTCTTGGAGGATCAAACAAAGGCAACACACCAACAAATTCCCATGGACTACCAGAGCTTTCTTTTGTTTTCTCAGGTACAGTCTGAAACATAGACACACAAAATTTACATAAACTCTCTCTTTCCTTTTTCCTATAATTTGTTACAAGATGTTCTCACCTGTCTTGCAACAGCTAGTGACCTGAGTCCACGCTCAGCGTACTTATCGATTGCAGAGTGGACTCTCTTCCTCAGATCAGCTCTAGCGTTGCAGAGATCAAGAATCTGAAATCATCAAAGAATCAGTTTCTTACTGTTTATCATTAAAGAGACACAACACTTGACTTAAAAAGTAAAACAAAAACAGTTTAGTTACCTGCTCGGGAGCTCCTTTGCTTACTCGGTGCCAGTTTCCGCTGCTATCGATATACGTCAAAGCGGTTCGCTTATCAACTGGATTGAATGGAAGGAAGTGAATCTCTCTAATTCCAGCTCTCGCCTGAAAGAAACAAACAATGAGAACAGAACATTCCATTTTCTTCAAGAAAGAAAACAGAGGAAAAAACAGAGTTTTAATATATATATACCTCTTTTGGATCAGCAAGCATTCCAACCATAGCAGCATCAATAGCATCTTGATTCTCAACTCTTGAAGCTCTAGCAGCAAAAAGCAAAACTTCATCTTTCTCAACGCCTTTAACATAAACCTCAATCAGATTCTTGTCAACACTAAGCTTGTTTAGAGTGAGAGTCCCGGTTTTATCACTGCACAGAACATCCATACCAGCCATTTCTTCAATGGCGGTCATTCGTTTTGTGATAGCTCCTTGTTGAGACAACTTGTGAGATCCAATAGCCATTGTCACAGACAAGACAGTAGGCATTGCAATGGGGATCCCACCAATCAAAAGAACAAGAAGATTGTCGATTCCGTCTCTGTAGTGTCTGTGCTGGATCGGGTACATAACAACGAGCTCAATCAGAATACCGACAGCTATGGAACATATGCAGAAGTTTCCAATCGCCGTAAGAACTTTCTGGAAATGTCCAACTTGGTTTGTGCTGTCGACAAGATGAGCCGCTTTACCGAAAAACGTATGGACTCCAGTGGCAATCACAACCGCTTCAATCTCACCTTGTTTGCAGGTAGAACCGGAGAAAACTTCTTCCCCTGGACCTTTTGTTGCGGGAAGAGATTCTCCGGTTAGAGCGGATTGATCAACTTTTAAAGGGTCGCCTTCAAGAAGACGTGCATCAGCAGGAATGATGTCACCAAGCTTGATGCTCACAATATCTCCAGGAACAAGAATAGAAGCTTCTTGCTCTGACCATTTGCCATCTCTTAGAACCTGCATAACAAAACAAATATTGTTACCTGGTATATTTACACTAAACATACACGTAAATGCTAATGAAAATGTATTGGTGTCAATGAAGCAAAAGAGGAGTTTAAAGAGAGGTTATAAAAAGGAACCTTAGTTTTGGGAGCAAGACCAGCCATAAGAGCAGCAGCAGCATTACCGGCATTGTTTTCTTCGATAAAACTGATAGTTGAGTTGATAACCAAAAGACAAACAATACCGACAAAATCCTGCCAATCCGGTGGCTTTCCACCGCCATTAGCCAAAGCAATAGCCATGATTGCAGCTGCTTCCATGACCCAAGAGAGAGGGTTCCACATAAAACCCAAGAACTTGAGTATTTTGCTTTCCTATTTTATTGAAATCACCATAACATAGTTAGTGACTTGACTTGGTTAAAACTTAAACCAAACTGCTTTATTATATAAAACAGTTATTTTTGTTACCTTCTTCTCCTCGAGTTTGTTGGGGCCAAATAGCTGGAGCCTGTTTTCTCCTTCTGCTCCAGATAAACCTTCTCTGCTGCATTTCAACTGCTGGAACACTTCCTCAATAGGGATTTTCTCCTGCAATATAATCCAATTATCTCACAAGGTGTTAAGTAATGTATCTTCTACACACATAACAACTAAGTATTTTTTATCTGTAGAACATCTTTTTGTTACAAATACAAATGTTAACCTTTTACCAAGAAAAAGCAAAAAATAAAACAAGATTACATGTCAAATTAAAAATATTAAATGACCAAGATTATGGAATGTTCTATTAGAGGCAGCGGTCGATGTCAGAGAATCTAAGGTGGGACCACCAGCCTTGTCCTTTAATTTCCGTATATAATAAGCCTAAAAGGCCCAATTGAATAAAAGGCCCATTGTAACGGAAGATACATCAATAGGGGCAAATCCGTCAATATAACATGGGATCTTTAATTCAGTCCAGAAAATCAGGTGAAGATTGGAGTTTAGTTTTTATCTAGGGAAGTGATTAACCGATTGATAATGCGATTTTCCCTGAGTATGTAAAATCCAAAAACATAGTATAATTGACTAAAACTTCTCTA